ACACACACACACACACACACACACACACACACACACACACACACACACACACACACACACACACACACATATATATATATACACCGCAGAGTGAAAACGACGGACGGAGGAGAAGTAACCCGAGGAAAAAGTGCCCGTCTGGCTATATCTCTTCTTTTTCTGGGCGAGATCGTGTGGAATTTTTATTGAGTGCTTGAGGGAGCTGTTTATTACGCAGGTGTGGGTGAGAAATGGTGTAGCCGCCGAATGAGGTATAAAAGAAAAGTGGAGGATCGTATATAAAACGTCTCGGTGCACAGATGAGGCCGGGCGGAAAAAAGAGCTGATTCTTCTTGGGGTTACACACAGGTGCGCGCGTTAATATGACGTATGTATATCCCCGGTGTTCAATCCTCGCATAACGGTGGCTGGGTCTGCGATGACCCGTTTGAAGTCCTACTTTGCGTGTGAGCCGTACAAAGTTAACCTGTACGGCTACGATTTAGCGATAAAAAATGGAATCATATTACGTTTCCAATAAAAAGTCAAATCGGTGACGAACGCACGTACGAGTCAGTTCTGAAGAAGCAGTCAATAGCGAATGGTCGGAAGTGTATTTCAGTGCATTGTTTTCAGTATTTTTCATTAGTAGTATTCTTTTAGTTTTGTAATATTTTTCATTTTTTGTATGTTTTAGTCTTTTCCATTTTTTAAAACTTGAAACTTTCATACTTAAAGCGATCGAGATGTTTTATTTTATTGCATAGGCAATGACAACAAATATAGCGCTAAATGTAGCAATTGTCACAATTTTGCTTGTAGCAAACATAAATGCAATCTAACGTATTTGATACTACGAAAATAAATAATATTGTTTATAGGTAATAAAAGTAACAAAAGCTGTTTTTATTTTCTACTATCCTATTGTTATAACAATCATAATAAAAATACAAAAAAGAAATAAAATTGAACCGATTACTAATGACTACATACAGGCGTACATCGTTCCACTGGAACGTGTATGTATATATGTAGTCAGTAGCTTGGGTCTCGCGAGACCCGGCCACCGGCCAGTACGGCTCGTCATGCGAGGGTTAATACGGTTCTAGAATTGTCGTTTGTTTCGCAAAGTAACGAGCGAAGTACAACGCTCTCCGAATGTTACTTCGCACGTTTAGGACTGTCCTACTGAAATCATCGACTCCAGATTTGCCCGGTAACAGTTTTTATCGATGACAATTTTACCCAACGACAGTATTAACCTACAATGATATTGACCGATGACATTATTATGATGTTTGTTCATCATTGCTTTTTCAATGATAATGCAAAGTTTAGGTTAGGTTTAGTTATATTTTATTTCTAGTTGATAATATGACTTCTGCAGTGACAGAACCATCATTTTCTGAATATGATCGAGACATTTTTGTATAATTAACTATTTTCACTGACAATAAGAATGATTATAACTCTATTCGATATACTAGAAGCAATAAACATCATAGCCGAACGCAAACTGAGGCAACATCTGCAGCGATATGTAATTGTCCAATGTTGATGTCGGTCAATGTCTGTCGATAAAAACTGTTGTCGGGCAAAGTCGCTGTCGGACAAATCTGGAGTCGATGAGAACAGTGTCGGAGAAATCTGTGTCGATGATTTCAATGGGACCACCCGGTTTTGAACATGCTTATTCACTTTACTCGTAGAAAAATAACACACGATAGGATTATAACGGTCAATTTATTGATTGTTGCGACGATAAAGAAATTTTGCACGCGGTGTATCGTACCGTGCAAACCAATGATCGAAACAATCGTTGCTTTATATTCTTAACGTGACTTTTATTTTATTCAGAGAGCTTATTCGCTCGTTTCTGCCACGTGCCGCCAAAACTTTCACGTAATATATACACGTCTCGGTTTCTCAGAAGAATCTTTCGCTCTTTCACGCTCGCCAAAAATATTACGACGTTTTATTACTTTTTTAGAAACACGTTCGCGCGTCTTTCGCGTGTTTGTCGAATAATTAAAAAGGAGGGGAAAAGTGCGCGAAAACGGGAAAGAAACTTTCTGCATTCGGAAAAGTGCGGAACTCTCTCGTGTTTCTCGAGAGAGAACTCGACGTTAGCCGGCTGACTTGTCCCTTTCTTCGCGCAAATGGACAGGAAGTTTCATGGATAATGCGACAGAGTTGCGAAACGAGACGTCGGTGAGAAAAAGAACGGACAGTCGCGGCGAGCATCCGAAATTTCTTCAAAACTTGAAATAGACTCTGCGCCACCATTTTTTTCTCCCCGTGGATCGACGAAACGAGAGAGAGCGGCCGGATGTTCGCGCGTCGACTCTTTCTCCCCCTCCTTTGGAAAAGAGAAAAAGCGGAACGAAGTTTGGCCGGGATCGCGACCCAACTTTTCCGAAAGTGGAAGGTTTCTTTCGCGAGAAGAACGTTCGACGCCGAATTGCGCGAACGAAACAATCGTTTCGACTCGGATGCTACGGCTCGATGACGCCAAAGCGATCGTGAGAAACACCGTAAGCGGTCCTCGTTGAATATTTAAATGACCGTCTCTCCTCGCTTGTCTTCTCTTCCCTCCTCTCGTCCTTCGCCCGCGAAACTTTTCCTCGGCTTAAGTCGTGAGAAGGGGCCACGGTTTCCAAGTCGTTTCTCATACATTTCTCCTTTTTCCCTCGGACCGCCGGTTCTACTCTCCGCCTCTGTTTATCTTTTCCTTTCGCGGAACGCGCCTCCGGAGGAACGTTAGTTTTTGTCTCGGCGGTTATGCAGAAAGAAATAGCAGTAAGTAGCTTGACTCGCGGTGAATTTCACCCATCGTGTAACTCACGGACCGTAACTGACTCGTACTCTACCTATTTTGCACGCGGCTGTAAGAAAGCATAATGTCCGCCGGAAATAATTAGATTGGAGTGACAATTGACCAAGCGGGGAACAGGGGGATCGTACGTTATCCGGATCTTTCGGTCGTTGGCCACCGTGGGTCATACTTCTGGCTTGTGTCGCGGTCAGAGTCCTAAAGTCGTTTCTCATATATCTCCCTCGGCCGCGTTGGAAAACATCCCTCGGGGGATGTCCGCTTGATGTTTTTCCGACACTCGGTAAATAGGACACGGTGCCGAGCGCTCGTAACTTCGCCTCGTCGGACTGTATATATATATATCCGACTCGCTTCGTAAGAAAAAAAAAAAAAAAAAAAAATACAGCCCTGAGTTGAACTTGTATCGTCTTAATCGTTTCGAGATTAACGAGATTGGACGAGACGTTGTCGCGATGGAACAAGAATTGGAATTACACCTCTTGAACACGGACGTAATTGCCTCTCTAATTTTGAAGAAAGTCGGTGTCACTCGAGCGAAACTATTTTCGAAATTATTCTCCGCGTGTATTTTATTTTCGAACAGGCTTCTGGCAGCTGTGCTACGTTCACATATCTTCCATTTTTAAACATACGCGCGTTTTCAGGAAATTCCTGCGATGACTCCTATCCTGCAGTGAAATAAATTGGTTTTCTATCTTCTTCCCGTAGCTGAGTGGTTCTACCGTCGTTTTAATTCCGTTTTCTCTCTTTTCCGTTGATCGGAGAATTGATAAAATTTTCGGCAAACGATATTTACGTGGCAAAATTACGTTTGGCAGGTCGCGACTCGTATTTTCTATCTTTTTTTTTTCATTTTTTTTCTTTTTTTTTTTTTGCAGGGAAACAGAATTTTTTCTAAAAATTCAGCACGTTGTCGATCAATCCCGCGTTATCGAAATTGTTTGGTTTTGGAGCGAACTACATCCCCTTTTAAAATATCGTTGAAATTCTCAAAATATCAAGTAATTGCTCGTAATTAAATTCCTCAAATTGGTCAAGTTGTAAACTGACGTCAAAAACGAGAAAAAAGAAAAAAAGAAAGAAAAGAAGAAAGAAACGACATGGAACGTACGAACTTTACGTTGGTTGAAAGTCGCGAGTTTTGCCCCTTTTCAAATGGGGGCTTCGCCATTCGAAGTATGCGCGTTTAAAATGCGAACGATTGTTCCCCACGGCTGATCGATGTGGCCCATAATTTTCTTTCGTACAAGGGGTAACGTCCGCCCAGGAATTCATGAATACTTCGATGCGAATGCCACGAGCGCCAACGGGTAATTTTCATAAATAACTCGACGTTTCAAAGTTCCCTCCGAATTTCAAAGATCAACTATCTTGCGTACCTCTGTCTCCTCTCTTTTTTCCCCCCCTCCATTTACACTTAAAAACTGCAAACATCTCAGGGGCTGGGGGTTCTCCTGCGAGTCGATCTGCCGGATCGGAATTTTCACCGGATCTCTCGACCAGTTTACGACCCGGCGATTTTGATCGAAGTGGATTTACGATCGGCGGGCTCGCAAAGAAAGCGTCGTTCCGCGAAGTAACACGTAGCTCGGGGAGATGGACGGCTGTTGGATGTTTTAATCCAGCGTGCAAAACAGCTCGGCCTCTCTCGGAACGTTTCGCGGCAAAAACTTCTCGCCACTCATCTTGCTCAGAATCACATGTGAATATAGTCGCGAGTTCCGCTTTTTTTTCTTTCTTTTCGCGCAGCCTAGTTGATTAATTTACAGTAACGTAACACTAGTAATTCGTTTGATTGAAAGTTTCGTTTCATTGGTATCAAAGTATCGTCTTTCGAACAGTTTTCGCCGTGTCGATTTCACGTGCCACGCGTACATACGTCAGGATTGAAACTGCGCGTTCAACACGTTCGTCAACACGACGATCGTTTGTACGGGCAACGTTTGAAAGGTTTTCACCGTCGAGAGGAGGAGCAAAAGGTTTCTTTCCACTCACCTTGCCAAAATTGGAGAGGCCACCGATGCGTGCCACTTGACCGGGTTCATCCGCTGTGCTGCATTCTGCCCTAACGAACCAATAGGTCAGTAACTCAATGGCAACAATCCTCGGCATTATTGTCGTACAATGCCCTCTAATCATAGAGTTTCGCGTTGGTAATACTAAGCAACTGTTCTCGTCGAACTAATGACTGCGGAAATCGTACCTGTCCCGTGTACAAACGTCTTGATTCGAAGCACCAATACCTCGCGGAATGTCTGGCGAGCAGTAGAATGACGATTGAAACCGTGCCGTTTCGTGAACGTCGGGCCGGAAAATAAGTCCGTGTAATATCGCGCGAACGCGATATAAATCTCTGTCCACGATGGAGGATTAATTACCATTATCTGAAGGTTTATCGGGCGGAGGGAAGGGGGGGGGATGGACGATAATGTTGGGCCGACAGATTCATAAACATCTCTCACGTTGATAGGATTACGAGGAGTCGTGCTAGACGCGACTAGCAGCTACGGGCTTCCGGGCGAGTCTGGGCAATTTCGGCACGATAATCGTCTGTATTAGCGCGATGTTCTCTAAGCTGGCAAACGGAACGATGATACGACGCTCGCAATGCTAGCTGACGCGAGAATCGATCGCCGAGGAGGAACGACTAGTAAACGGCGAACGCGATCGATGCGTCTCAAGCGATGGGAGGGGACTGCCAATTCGGGATTGGACACTTTGGATTTTCCTTTGACCGTCAAACGAAAAGACGCTGTATACTACTTTCGCTCAAAAGTCTTAGGACACTTTTCCTTTCAACATTAGTTGAAAGTACTTACTTTCAAATACTTAACGTATATACGTGTTTTATAATGTAATATATAATGCAATATATCAATATATGATTACCGTGTAAATTATGTTTTATATCATTTAATTATATTGTATTATACGTATGTAATATAATAATAAGTACAGTATATAATACAATATATTAATATATTGACAGAATCTTTGTAAAGTCTGTTTCATACAACAATTTATACTTTTGCCTAAATTATTCTAAATATTATTATATTTACTTCTAATTTATATTTATTGTACTATTTTCTTTTATTATACAAAAATAGTACTTGTCGCTAAGATATCTGAACGAGAGTACATTGTGAGTGGTTTCGACACGTGGCTGACTAAAGACGGATTTTTCTACTTGTATCTCATCAGGCAGTGTCAACGCGTGGCTGGTCAAGACTACTGGTTTCTCTACTTTTCCCAATTCTTGTTTTCAACTAATTGCAAGTATTTTCATCTCGTCTTCGCGTAAAGTCGAGTAGAATCCATACATGAAAGGATCTTTGTTTCAATGAACCGACTGCCGCTCAAATCCAGACGAACGATAAAAGCAGAGCTCGGAATGAAAATTTCCTTGCGATCGCTCGTCGTCAGAGAGAATCGAGGCCGAATATCCCTTCACATTCCAGCCGAGAGTGAATCAATTACCGTCTGGATGATCCTCTCTTTAATTAACTCGAAATCAATGCCGCCAATTACACCGTGACAATTAGCGCGGATAATCTGTTATTACGGATCAATGTCGATCGACGGTAGCAAAGCGAAGACGGCTGTTGCGCCGCGTGCATAGCCACATACGTGTAAAACGAAAACGAGAGTGTGTGATCGGTATCAGCGCCTTTGAGTCGACTGTGTACGTATGTATGTATGTACATAGCAAGAGGATCTAGCTACGACGTAGAGGGTGGAGAGAACGTTTGATAGGATTGCCCAGAGACGAACACGCCAACTGCGAGCTCTCGATATCTCGCGCTCGTTTTCTTCTTGTGTGTCGAGTGTACACAGAAGGCTGGCGTACACACCGATTCGTGGATTTAACGCTTCAAATTAATATCGAAAATTCGGCGAGAGTGTTCTATGGCTACGAACTAATCTCACCACTGTCGAACAGCCAGACGGTAAACTCGCGCAGCAACTCTGCTCTACTCTAGCTACTTCAGCCAGCCACTAGTTGAAACCGTTTCGCCGCAACCGGTTATTTATCGGAATCGTAAAATGCTCGGTCGACGCCGGGAAATTTCGAGACGCGGATAATATTGTCACGGTTCTGTTAATCCTCCCCGTGAGCCATCGTTCCGTCGCGTAATGCCGCGCATAAATAAAGATTCCGAACCGGCTTTACAGATATAAATTTCACGGTCGAAACGGTGGGATCGTCGATCATCGGGGGCCGATCGGCGTTTCTCAGCTCTTTAACCGCTGTGTTGTCCTCCCACCCTTTGAAAAATCCCGTCAAATTACAACGTTCCACTCTACGTGCCGCCAGTTCGTTCGGTTATTAAACCTGATTGTCCGCTGAAAGTCATTGTACGCTCGCCATTTCCTACTTTGTTTATTGAGCCGGACAATGGACGATCGATCGAAAGTTTTGCCCGCGTTCACCGTCCGCTCTACGATGTCGTGTTTAAGCAATTTGGCACTTCGTATTAACGCTTTCGCCGTCATTTAACTTTCACTCCTCTTCCCGGAATTTTGCGAATTCTATCGTATCGAAGTAAGTATATATTTTTATTAATTTCTATTTCGGTTGAAATTGATTGTTACGGATTTCGGGATATCACGTCATTCTCTTTTCAAATATTCAACGCAAGAAGAAAACGCGAAAATTCTCAAAATTCATCTGTCAAGTTTTTCAGCGTGTGAAATGACCGTAAATTATAAAATATCGAGGAATACGTATGTACGTACGTTGCTCGCCTGCAGTATGGTTTGCATAAAATTGAACGTTGATTTATGCTCTTTTGTTTCGTGTATCTTTTGTTTGAACGTAGTAGTTGGGAGTTCGTCAGTATTCTCGCAACGGCACAGCGAATACATACGAAATTTTCGTGCCATTGTCTTTCACGAGTTCGAACTTATGTTAATCGTTTCACGTCTACGATATTTATGTATAATATTGCTCGGCGTGTAACGCGATCTTCGGCGAAATTTACAGTGTTTACAACTAAACAAAACGGGGCGCGACTTTTGCATAAATCATTTTTCCTGCCATCAGTATTAACGTTTGCAAAATAAAAAAAAAAAAAAAGAAAAAAAATATACGCGTGACGGAAAGGATTTTGCATAATTTCAACGTCGTGAATGTTTCACGTGTGCAAATTTAATTACGTCAAGGAAATATTCATCAGCTCGCTTTTGGCAAGCGAGTTTTGTAAACTTTAATAATATATCAGAAATTTCGTTCGTGCAGCAATGAAAGCCGTGCTTTACAACGGTGGTAATATTATTTATCGACGCGCAGAAAAAGATATTTGTACGATCGTCGGCCAGCCATCGATTTAGTTGCGCTCTTCGGCTGTGCGCGCGCGTATTTATTTTACACGTGGTACACGCAAGTGTAAAATAAATTCGGTCTTTATCCCGGGAAGAGCGGAGTGTCGCGTCTCTGACAAAAGCCGTCGGTTTCGTTCGAGACTTTTTTATTGTTTCCTCGACCAGTTTTCGCTGTCGCGTTGTCGTTCGTTTTTTCGTCGGGCCGAATACCGCAGCCGGCGCGGTCGGTGCCGTCTCGTAAAATGGGAACTGGTCCATTGTGTTTGTTCTAGAATAATATTTCTATACGCGCGCCGGTGGCTGACAGCTGGCTCGCGCAGTTCGCAACCCTTACGTAATTCCGAGCCTCCCGCGCCGCGAACTTAAAACTGAAACAGCCGCCACCGACGTTCGTCCGTGTCGTCGAAACAGTTCCATCCGCCGAGAATATCGATACTCGTCGCGTATTGTGCTCGAGACATGCCCCAAATGCGACTTCCGATCCGTTATAGATTTCCAAGATCCTCCGCGGTAATCATACGTACGTTCGTCGACGTATTTTTCAATACCTGACGTTTGCGGTTAAATTTCTTAAATAAATTCAGACGAAGAAAAAAAAAAGAAAAAAGAAAAAAAGAGAAAAAAGAAAACAATCCAACATCTATTTAGAAGATGTCTCTGCATAAATTTTGGCGAAAACGCGTTGTTTGTTCGCGGAACGCGCGACGATCCAGCGATATTTCTCTCCCGATAAATTGTTACGCGGAGGAACGCGTGTGATTGATGCGCGCACGATAATGCATTATGATGCATTATGATGAATTATCCTCGACAGAGCTCTTTATACGTGATTACGCATTGAACGGGCACGCGATAATCACGAAAATCGGCTAGCCCGTACCGCTTGAACGATTATCCAATTTTCAGCTATTTTCGCCGCGATGCTTTTGTATTATTGTAGAATCGGACGGAACTGCTTCGGTTGAAAAACATGCGTGCACGTAATCTGAGCGTAATCGTGAATTATATCTCAATTGGTAAACTCACCAAGGCGTGTTGCATGTGTGAGTGAGCGTGAGATACCTAGCGCCCAGCTCGTACAACATCCTCAGAACTGCCAGACTCGCTCCAACCGCGTGACCCCCTTCGACCCCTATCAGGCTCGCTAATCTACCCTCCTTGTGCGCCCTCTCTATACCTGAAAGCATGCGTTAAATCGGGCCTTGAACGTTCTCGATTGTAATAATTATTATTATTGTTCTAATTATCATCGCGTAGATACCACTCGGGCGTTCCAACTTGCGCCCTTATCGCGAATCTTCTCAAGTACCGCCATTCGGCTAATTATCGCCAACTCCTTCGAGCGTCCCTCTTCAGAATGCGCGTGAAATACAGTTATATAAATTCCAGTTTAGCGGTAAGACGAAGGAGCGGTATCTACACAATTAACTTCTAAGTGGATAACGTTGCCATTTAACTTTGAGGGGGGAGGGGGAATTTATACTTACTGCTACCACAGTTTTTCCCTAATTATTGTTAGGTCTTTACCACGTTTATGTACCGTATTCATTCGTTCGATCTATCTTCCATCTGATATTCCCTCTTTGTTATTTTCATTTGTTACTCTAGTTTCTAGATTGTTTGTCGATATTTGCTTGTCCATGTTCATCTTATTTATTTACTTGATTTTTACTTTTATTTCACTTTACTGTTCCAGTATTCCATTTACATTTATATATTAATAGCTTCATCTTATTTTATAATACTGTTATAAAGTTATGTAAATAGCCTCATTTTATTTTATAATACTATAATACTGTTCCCAGTTTTTCCCTCTTTGTATAACAAGGGATTTTTCTCGTTTATTTGTAATTAATACGTTTATCTCGTTGATTTATTTGCAATACTATTCTTGACTTTTACTTTTATTTCACTTTGCTATTCCACTATTTCACTCACGTTTTTACATTAATACCCTCATTTTACTTTCCTCTGTACTGTAACACTTATATTTTACTTATCCCCTTCTTTTTTTCTTTTTTTTTTTATATAAGAAGTCAAATATTCAGATACTCTAACGTAGTAGAAATAGAACAGAGCTCCCATAGAAATGGACTCTCAATTTTCCTCTCTGACGTTTGAAAAGATCATACGCTCTAAGGCTGAATCGACGCGACGAGCCGGACCCGAGCGTGGCTTAATGGAATCATTTAAATAGCCGGCCGAAGGTGGCGAACGTTATCGGTCAGATCGTTAATTGCGAAGCGTAAACGGGGGTTTGATTAATCCCAGCCAGAGGATAATGGAACGGGCGCGGCTCTCGCTGAGCCGACAGGGGGCCAGACAGCTTTGGGAAATCCTTCTTGCGGCCGGTATTTTGTCAGTATTTAGCCAGCGCGCCGCGAATTCGATTCTCGGCCTCGGTTTAATCGTTTTAATCGAGTCCGGGCGGTGTAAAGGTGGGGCCGTCGTGCTACGCGAAATCGGATTCGCGGGCTCGGTGTCGTTCGGATTCGATTAAAACACCGCGGACAAATTGCGTTAGGCGCGGCCGCTACATACGGATACCGATACATACCCGTGTAAAGTGCAACGCGCGTCGTTTCGTCGCGTTGCTCACCTCCGACGCACGTTCACCTCTCCCGGAACCCCTCATTTATCGCCGGGCGATTCCAACTTTTCCGCTTCCGACCGCACGCGATCCAGCCCTCAAGCGCTAATGGAACCTCGAACGCGCGGTTACGCGTGAATTTGACTCGATAACCTGTAATCCTCGCCGTCCGAGCAGAGCGACCGCGAAGGTCTCTCCACTCGCGACCTTCTCACCTTTCTTCTTTTCATTTTCTATTTTATTTTTGATCAAGCTTTGTGTTAAGGACAAAGTGTCGATCTCTGGTCCATCACTGCGTGGTTCGAACCACCCACTCATGTGGTATTTTTATCGTGTAATAAGCCTGATCGCATCTACTAGATCTCTGCTTGAATCCAAAATGTTTTACTGTTTCGATACCTCCTTCGAATGCTATTAACTTCTATTTGACTTCTGTCGTTTTGCTACTGTTTTTAGAAGCAAATTTAGTACACATATATTAGAAATTGAAAAATTTCAAGACTACAAACAACAATAGTAACTTTTATTAATATTTATTACGTAAATAGTATAATAATGCAATAACAATGGGTTTTATTAACCCTTTCGTTACGGCAGTCCGCTCCGCAGAGCTGACGCCACTGAACGGGGCACCGCGCCGCGAAGTGTGCACATTGCACGTCGGTAAACTGGTTTTCGACGTACTTCTTTAAGTTTTACATAACGACATATTTGGAGACTTTGAAATTATTATTAATAATAATACAATACACACAAATCATCGCGTAGATGCCGGATATATCCGGCGCTCGTAACGAAAGGGTTAAAACAGTTTAGGCAAAGATGTAGATTTCCTTTCCACTTATCACGGAACGTTGTAACACTCTTAGTCTAATATTTCTTCTCAACAGTGTTGCATTCTCTTCGTAACAATTTTTTTACGAAATTTTCTGACTTGTATCCATGCCGGATGTAATCTTGTTCTGTATTCTTGCGTTTTGCTTACCGCGGAACTGTGTCGAACAGTAAACAAAACGTACGCACGGCACTCAACGTGTTGAGAACAGGCTGGGATATCTGGCAATTATTTCATCGACTTTCCGCGGCAAGAATAATTTCTATTTGCTGCTCCCGATACGTTTAGTCCTTCCAATCTGTCGTTCGCACGTGTATCGTATTTTAGCTTCTTTCTCAAGCTTCTGCTCGTTCTCTCTCTCTCTCTGCCACTCCGTTCGCGCTCGATAAATGGAGCGTTTCGCACCATTTGTCCCGAGTTTACTTTAATTCCTTCGCGACGTGCGGACGCGGCCGGCGTTTACGCCGCGTTAGACCTCTAATGGAAGAATAACCGGGGAAGAAAGGGCAGCAGCGAGCCGCAACCTGTCGATGAATCCCGATTTACAGCGTCCGTTGATTTATACCTGGCCGTTCCCAGTTGGTCCGACGTGTACGTGTGTTGCTCGTATATATTCGATCGTCGACCCGTGGGCGGTGAGTTATGTTCCTCGAACGATCCCGATTCTTTTGGAATTTTCTGATTCTCGGAATACCGACGACGTCTTCCACGTCGTATTTTCGCTTTGTGCGCGCGCGCGCGCGCGTATCTCGTCGACCTAATCGGCTTGTACAGGGTGTTTCGTAACTTGTGGGACCCATTTCGGGAGCTGATTGTACGCCTAAAAATAATGAAAAAAAAAGTCATATAAATATATGTCCTCTCTGTCTTCGTTTATGAGATATAATGAATTTTCTGTTTTAATTACTTTTACAAAAGATGCTCGAAATGATCACCTTGCATTTGCACGCGTCTTGTCATTCATCTGGTTACTCTCTCGTTCCTGGTGTTTCTCGAATTTGTCGGGAGTTGTGCTCTATTCTATTTCGTAGTATTTCAGCATGTTCAATACAATAGATTTTCATTCGTGTGACTATTTGAAGATTCAGCAAATTTTGTAATACTCTCTAAATCAGTTCAGTTCTTACTAATAATCGTAATACAATAATAATAATTGTAATAATAATAATAATAATAATAATATACTAATAATCGTAATATACTAATATTCGCTCCATTATCACTTTAAACACGATCTTATACGACATGCATTACGATTATTAGTAAGAACTGAACTGATTTAGAGAGTATTACAAAATTTGCTGAATCTTCAAATAGTCACACGAATGAAAATCTATTGTATACGCAACATCGATTGAACATGCTGAAATACTACGAAATAGAATAGCGCAAGGCTTCCGAGAAACACCAGGAATGATAGAGAGAGTAACCTGATGAATGACAAGACGCGTGCAGGTTTGTCTTCAAATGCAACGTAGTCATTTCGTGCATCTTTTGTAAAAGTAATTAAAACAGAAAGTTTTCATTATATCTCATAAATGAAGACACAGATAGGACATATATTTATTTTTAGGTGTACAATCAGCTCCCGAAGTGGGTCCGACGAGTTACGAAACACCGTATAGATCGCCGCTACGTCGCGTCTCGTCCTGTCGGCGTTACGATCTCTTAGAGTCCCTCGAAACGGTGGTCGTTTGGATTCGATCGGGCGAGAATTATAAACGCGGGCGGCTTCAAGTTCGTCTTCCTCGCTCGTAAATTCTCGGGGGCGTCGAACATCCGGGACAGTTTGAACTATTGTCCCGAGGTAACGGCGTGATAGCGCGGCTCCATCGCCGAAAGTTTCCAGACTCGAGGCAGCGACCTCGTCGGTTCAGATAAACACACCTTGCCCCGTCGTCTATTGTTTCTTAGAGTTAGTCTTCGACGTGTCGTCGATAAATCGCAGACGGAGGATGAAGAGGCTGTAAGAACGACACACGTGAAATGAACCAAATACGGATAGAAATACATTGATACTCGAATATTTAAATATTCAAGCTGTCGTAATTTCATAAAGAAAAAAAGAAATTGTACAACAATAAACCTGGAATCATTTTACAGCACGGTCCAAATAAGAAAGGATTAATAACTATAGTGGGAAGAGGTAGTTATCTGATCGAGAAACATCAGAAGTTTTTCACACTTATTGACGAAACAGAATACAGTTAGATTTGAACACAATTAGAACAGAGACATTTTAGAATTCCAAATTCGTTGTCGATATAGATGATTATTAACTATGGACTTTCGCGCGTCTAGAAAAAATTTTAAAATGCAAAATTGTGCAAAATGCACGTGGTATGAATTTCTATAATATTTCGTACAGTGAATGGTTATATAATAATTGTAGCAACGGCTATAAAAAATTGTTGACTGAAAGATTTTTTTCGTTAGATCCATCATCATTTTGAAGAGTGAAGCTTTATCTTTTTTCTTTATTTTTATCCAACTTTGAACGTTAGGCTTATACGACAGAAATTGAAAAAAATCGCAACATTTTCATTCTCACGTGTTTGCTCGATATTCAAAGTTTAATAATTTGACAAAAAAGAATCGCACGGAAAATTTTCATCTTACGAATCTTAAAAATCCATCGTAGATTCAGTTACGAATAAATATTTTTTAATATTTTTACGTACTGTGAGAGTTTGTAGCATTCTCGAGAAGAGAAGTGTTGTACAGTATTAAATAAATCGTAGAATAAAACGAATAAATAAACCTTAAAATAAATCTCAGAGTAAAATGAATAAATAAACCTTGGAAGAAAACAAATGAATACTTCAGAATAAACTGGACGATGTACATATACAGGCATTAAAATGAGAATCAGATTTGTTGTGCGATTTCCTTCTAGAAAACACCTTCGATATATTTAGTCTTCGAACGTTTACGTGACCGAATGTTAACGGGACGTCACCCGTATTTCGACTTTGCTTTCGTTTTCCAAACAGTCTCGCGATCACCTTCGTGGGGCAAACACGTGTCGCGAACGTCCGTGACGAATTTCGCGCATTTAATTCGACATAGTCGCCTCGTGGCTCGTTGCTCAATTCCAGCTGTCTTCGTCGACTCCTCCACTCAAATTCTACGACGCCAAGAGTAAGTAACTCTGAATGTTCGTTTGTTCCAAGCGTGAAGAAATCTGGAATGTCAACTGGATCGATGTCTTGGCGATGGTTGAAACTCTGTCGATAATAAATTACGCGTCGCATGAATCGGCGAAGGAATGCGACGCGTGTTTTTGCAGAAGCAAAAAGCAGCTTGCAAATTTCGAACAATCGTTCCTTTATACGCTCGAAGAGGAGAAGGGTGAAGTATATATATCGTTACGTATCGCGTGTCTATTTACATATGCATGTGCATGCCGACATGCAGTCGCCGCGCCCGTCCCGTGGTTCGGCTTATCGAACGCGGGTAGAAACGCTCGGCATCGCTTGACATTTTTCCATTCCAGCTGAAATTTACTGCCCGCTGGATCTTCTCTCCCGTTGTCCGACATTTTCTCTCGTCAGAGCCGCGTTACGTTCTCGAACGAATCGTTTCACGGACGAGCGAATGATTACACGGGGACGCGCGTGAAAGAGAGGCGGAAGATCGTCTTATCGTACGCGTTATGGGGTATCCGAGCTTATAGAATCGGGTTCGATATCGGCGGCGGCATCGTGGATCGATCGAAATTCCTTCTGGAAAATTATTTTCCACGTTCGAGCTGCGTAACGAGTTGTTTCCTCCAACCTTGTTCCATCGTATTCTCGGATGACGTACTTGCAATTAGATATCGAGTTCAGACGTTGAGCAAACAATGCGCATCGCCGTTTACTTTTTTTCCTCCTCGCTCTCGCCGATGGGGATAGTGGGACGTTCCATTTTTCTGTTCCATTTCCCTACGATTTGCCAGGTATTTTGAGACAGATGAAGGATCATTCAGAGGTTGAAATCGAGGAATCTCGAATCTCGATCTTGCATTCTCGTCCCTGTTCTCATTACGAGTTTTTCCACGGTCGGAATTTCGATGTATCTCTTCGTTTGGCTTGGCCGAGTGATCGTAAAATAGGTTACTGGTGGCTGGTAGCGCGGAAGTTGGTCGTTCCTCGGGTAGGGGGAGGAACTTCGGCTCCGGTCCTCGAACGGGTCTTTCCTCCGCGACTTAAAATGCATCCTCGAAATTCTCGAAAGTGTATTCACGGTGACGATAATAACGGGGAGTGCTGGCCCGACTTTTCCACCAGCCTTCGTCGTGTTTCCCTCGGAAACACTTGGCTCTCGTCCAGAGGGGCGTCGAGAGCGCGCGACGTCGAACGGCCAACCGGAAACAAACACAAGACGGCCGACTTTGTCGGACGTTCGTCGACCTCGATCGAACGTTTCATACGGTACGTGCGTAAATTTCCGGCAAGAGGCGACGAGCAGATTGTTTTCCCGGGCACGTTCCGAACGGGGGCGGAACTCTCCTTTTGAAGCGAGCTCGTTTATTATACCGGGCGACATCTCGGCCGACTGGCCAGCGGAACGCGGCGAGGAATTAATTAAAATTGAAGGGGAGACGAAGATTCATTCCGCGACGAAATTTTCTTCGAGGATACGAAGAGGCGAGAAACTCTATTCTCGGGGAAATTCTTTTCTACCGGCTTACCAGCCTCCTGACATTGGCGACACGCCAGAAATTCGAGCGGTGTGTAACGTCGAACGGTCCCCGGTTCTGCGAACAAATAGAGGATGAGGTGACGTTCGTCGACCTCGAGCCTCCATTTCATATTCCTCGCGTGTGGAAGCTTCCTCGCTGCATCCACCGGCAGGATGGATCCTGCGGATCCGCGACTTTCCCGAGAACGCTGACTCGAGAAGCCTGACTCTACCAAGAGTACGTGCGATATACACTGTCTCGGAACATCGTATATTCGACAGTTTCGCAGAAGCGAGTACACGAAGGACCTTGTATCGTTATCCGGTGTTTACATTGCGTTAAACACGATTGGCAATTAATAATTTCGTGTTTAACTTGCCAAGCAGTTTCACGATTCTATTAAAGAGTGATTCGTCGGGCCTCGCGGATGTTTCGCGTGTTGTTCGATCAGCCTGGCGCGGCGTTGCCTGTTTACTTTGGCTGACGATTTAATGCAAGCTTTGAACCAGTTATCTAATAGCCCGAAGAGAGTGTAATGAGTGGTTGTACGTACACGAAATTTGTTTAGCGAACAAACAAACGGAGCGTTGCCGGATCGATACTCGGTGTTGGTTGGTGTCGGTGTTGGTTTATACGCGATGTCGCGCGGTAATCGTTGGCCCCAGTCGGGAGGGTGGCTCGTTTCCTCTTCTCCTCCTTCGCGAGTTGGACAGAGAAAGAAGAGAAGAAAAAAGAAAAAAAAAAGGAAGGGAGAAAAATAGGTCGCACCGTGGGAAATTCTTTGACGAGCGATATCGATAACGATTCACCCGCCCGGGGAGGAAAAATCGAGTCGGTTCGGCTCGGTGCCAAACGGACGGCGCGCGATTGAAAATTTATCTTCACGGATCGAGCAATGTTTAACTCGATATCTTACGCGTTCCTCATTTTGTCACTCTTGGTCCTTTGACTGTTGCTCGACGTCGAAAAACGACGCGGCTATGATTTCAGTTTGTCAACCCTCTTTCTTTCTCTCTTCCACTTCCCCCCCCCATCCCCAGCCCAAATTCTTTCTCCTCGCATTGGAACGACTATCGTGTGTAAATATCCCGGGCGAACCGACATTGTATTTCGGCGCACCAGCTGTATGGCTGGAGTTACAAAGGCGTAGAATTGCAAGCGAAATGCCTCACCTTCCGCCGTGGTAACGAGGACCATGCTTTCAGGATGCTTGTTGACCAACCGGCGAATCAGGTCGATTTGCTCGAGTGCCAGTTGGACCGAGTCGAGGTGCTGAGAGGAGCACGGCACGTAAGCTGACCAAAACTGCAACAGAAACAACGCGGGATTTCGGTGAGTTTTTCTTTCTTTCTTTCGTCAGAGATATAGAAAAAAATACACGGTTGAATTTCTTTTGAACGTGCACCGATTAACGATACGTACGGGGGGTGTGGGATATTACGAGGATTAGATTTGGGGTCAGGAAATTCGCTTCGAAACTCGTCGAATTAAAAATGAAGAATTTATAAGCTCGCCACGTCCGCTCGAAACTGGAATATTTAACTCTTTGCCAGTCGAACGTGATTTTCTAATCGGAAGGAATGAAACTTCTACTCGTTCAGAGGAAAGTTCGTTCGACACTGACGTTCAGTATTTTCAATTGCAATTATTATGTAATCAGGCAACGTGCGTGAATCGTACCACTTCTGCAACTGGTTACTTTTCTTTCGTTTTTGCAAAGTTTAAGGGACGGAGGTTTCAAGCTTCGAGACGCCGCTTAGCTCGATTCGAACAATTCACGCAAAACGAAAATTACCGCTCCTAATTGCGTTGGACTGGCACTCCAATGAATTCCGATTCAAACGCTGAATTCCGGTTACATTAGGCTTTTCTCCATCGTTCAATTAACTCTGCGGCTTCAAATACTATTTCGCGCCATTAGCGTGGCATCATGGCGATAGTGGGTCTCGGTACGCGCTAGCGACGATAACAAACTGGCGTAAATGGTAATTTCTCATTTCAATTCGCTATCTGATGGAACTTTGGAAATAATTAAAAGGGTATTACGAGGCCGTGGCGTCGGCAGGACGCCGCTTTGAATTTTAAATACTGGGATATCGGGAACCATAAATAAAGGAGTATTTATCCTCCACCGGTCGGCTATGTACACACACCGGCTAAGAATATATTCTACTTAGACTAAATTAAACCGATGTATCAGATCCCGAGGATTAAACACGACCCGCGATATTTCATTCGGCCTGATAAGGGGCGCGTAAAAAACTTTGTTTTTCGCACACGGATGTTACGCCGTTCCACGTCGTCTTTCGATTCATCGGCTCTTCCAAGCTCGAGACTCTCTCGCAATAGAGAGCCATTGTAAAATTTTAAATTTAAAAATTTAAAAATTTTAAAAATTCAAACATTCTAAAATTTTAAAATTCAAACATTCTAAAATTTTAAAATTCAAACATTCTAAAATTTTAAAATTTTAAGTGATAAAACGCCACATAAATCGTACGTCGTCGTCGAGTTCGATTGTTCACGACTGATCGTTTCTAATCATCGAGTTGAGCCGAGTGAAATTCGGGTGTTTCCTTAAAATTTCAGCTCCCTTTCCAGATATAATACAATACAGCGCTTTTCATTCTCAGTCGGAACGTTTTCATTACAATTATCCGAGAGAAGATAGTCAGAAGTTGATTGCTTTAGCGCCAACTGACGTTTCGCGAGTATAAAAACGAGTACAAACGACACGATGGAATTTTATTCTTCCTTTGCCCGATTTCACGGCAGCACTGTATTCCTGTTTAAAATATCTCGCACGCTAGGCTGTAGGAAAGTTTTGTTTTTAACAGCGCCGGATGAAATGTACGTTCCGAGCGTGACGTTGTCGTCGAGCTGTCGTAAATCAGTGGGTGGTGCGAGATGGTTTCATCCCCTTTTTTCTCTCTCTTTCTCTCTCTCTCTCTTTATCCATCGCTACCACCCTGTTCTCCCTTTTCTCTCCCCCCTTCCCCTCTCCGTTTCTCATCAAGCAGCGGCTCCACCGAACACGCGACTCGCGACATCCTTCACTTTCCTTCCTTCGTTTTCCGCGACTTCATTACCTCTCTCGAAGAACTTTTACGCTCACAATTTGCTTTGCGTCGCCGCCATTTGATTCGAAGCATTCACCCCGAACGTGACACCTCTTTTATCCCTTCGGTTAATAGTTAATTGCGAAACGGCAATAATTTAATCCTCGAGGTTTCCAGAAAAGAGTATTTCCAGACGTGGTTTTCGAAAGCGGCGAACGTGCCCCAACCCACGGGGCCTTTTGATTTCCGGTTCGTACGCAATCGTCCCTTTCTCCCTCTTTGCTTTGCCGATGAAGGCCTGTTACCAAGCAATTTCACCGGCGACAAGAATTTACTCGTCATTAACGCTCCTTAGCCGGCTGCCAGTTACGTTTGGGAAAAAAAACTTCAAAGCGAGGAAAACTGTGAAATTGCAATCGCTTGCCCCACGGACGATCGTGTCGGCTTTTCGGCTTTTGATCGTACATTCGCGATAATGAATCGAGTGACGATTAAACGAGCCAACTGTTTGCAGAAACATTTTCCACCAGTTCGCCCTGGTATTTCAGGTCAGACTTTTTTTCTTTTTTTTTTTTTTTTTTTTTTAAGTTAAAGCGCTTAAATTCGCGCACAACCGAAACGTAACGTCTGAGCGATCGCTGCTTTTATTTTTTACGAAGAGTCGAATATACGAAACGTTTCTTAACAACGTTTCAACCGGAAGAGAGCCATTCTTTGAAAAATACGTTCACGGGATAGAGAGAACATCGCTGGCGCGGTTTTAAATTAAACTTGCATGAAAGAGGAACGCGTTTTGCCGCAATTTCGTTCTCCCTTCTTTTCTTTCTCCCATCTCTGACCTGCCGTAGAATCTCTCGGAAATATGAAGGGGAAGATAAAAACAGACCCCGAAATGGCTCGCCTCCTCTTTCGAAGAACTATTCATTTTTTAATCGAACGTTTCAGTTGGAAGTCCAAAAAAAAAAAAAAAAAAGAAGATCGAACTGGATAGGGGAAAATTAAACGTCTATTTCGAAATTTTTAGGTTTTCAGATCGTGTTTCTATTTGGTAGTCCATTAGTTCGATTAGATTTTCAGAAAGGTTCCACGCGTAGTTACGTGTTCCATAAACATTTCATTGGAATCTGTACCCTTATCTTTCTGATGGATTTTCATTACGTACACGGGGTAGAGAACTTTTCCCCGATTAGGGGGGTCGAATTTATTGGCGATATAAACTGATTGAGTATCTGAGAATGTGCAATTTTTATCATTCAGAACACTTTATCGTGAATGTTATCACTTCTGTTTGAATATGTATTTTACTTTTACTAAGTTTCTTATCAATGTTCTCACCCATTCTCGTTGCATTCCTGTCGATCAACGTTTAATTTTCTTAACACGTAGCGAACAACTTTCACGAAATGAATGGCAAGTTGTGTTTACAAAAATTTCCTTGACTTAAAATGCAGAGATTTTTCTCCACAAGGTTTGCTCTGCTTTTCTTCCTTTTTTCTTAAATCGAAGCAAACCGTGTTTGTCGGATTTCTGGAGAAGCTAATTTTCGAGAAAGTCTCAAAATGCGACGAGGTGACGCCCAGGCGAATACATTGTGTTGTATCGCGCACAAAAGGGGGGAAAAAAACTTGGTACTAGAGAGCGAAAGAGAAAACATCCCAAGGTATTTCTTTTCACTCGAGCCGATTGAATAATTGACAGGTTCATTGATTTCTCCTGCCTTTGCGAATCAACGCATTCAAACGCTCCTACTCAAGTTTCTCCAATTCCTGTAACTTTCCCCTTCGTCGAAATAAAGGAAGAAGGTTTCACCGCGTTTCACCTTGTTTTTCATTACAAATCAATCGTCTCTCTCTTCTGTGTCTTCTGTGTATTTCCAGCGTGAAACAACATTCTTAAAGAAATTTTTTTCATTCTCAAAAAACACGAGTGCACGCTATCTTGCGCGTAACGTTACGTCAATTACAAATTTTATTTACTAGATAAATAGCTCTTTACACTTTATTAACATGTTATTATTCGGCATGGAACGCAACGTCGACAAATCTCGAGAATACAAAATTTTCCGAATTTACGAAACTTTTACGTAACGCTACGAACTCCAAGAATCGAAGAGAATTTGTATTAGCGTTTTTTTTCAAATTCTGACCGATTTTAAGTAATAAAAATTGCACCGTGTAATATAGAATTTAGTCGGTTGTTTTTATTGCTTGTTCCAAGGCGAAAAGAAAAGAGAGGGAGAATTCCGTGTGATTTATATCTATGAAAATTGTGAGATCTTAACGGCCGAATCACATGTCCGAGTGTATTTAATCGAGTACCTGTTTCTAAGATCTTTGAGAAATAGAACTTGGACAGATTTTATAGATTAGGCGAGCCTACCCTCTCGAGACGTTGTAATTTGTGATTCTCGTTCGTTCATGTCTGTTGATGGTTAGATGACGTGATTGAATGCTTTAAATCAATCTTACAATTAGTATATATCAATGTGTATGGCTGTATGATTATGTTAAATGATTGAAAACGATCAGCATATTAGATACGAAGGATATTTACTAATAAATACAAATTACGAGCATGAAAGTTGTATTAAAATTTCAGTCGGGATTGTTATTTTTATAATAACAGCTGCACGTGTCATTTTAATTAAGCAAAAATTAAATCTTAAATCGCCGTTCTTTTCTACGCTCAAACGACTATTAATTCGTCGATAATAATGCCTGATAATTTCATACATCCCGATAAATAACTTGTAATTTATTTGCGAAATACCGTTCGAAAAATTTTCGGCATTCGACGCGCAACGGGCTCGTACAAATATGTATTAACGTTCTCGAAAACAACATCAAAACTTCATTTAAAAATATCCGCATTCGCGCCGTAATTTCCATTTAGAAATAATTTTCATTATATTTCATATCGAGGCGCGTATTCCAGTCCAATGTTCAGAATAATTATTCTCATTTGCAAAAAAAAAGAGAACAAAAAAAAAATAAAAAAGCGGAACCGAGATACTCTTTGCCTTCTCTACTACCAGTTCCAGTGTAATTACCCGCCCCTTTGCAAAAATAAAGAAAAGGAATTTATGAACGTTCGCTGCTTCACGATTTCTATGCTTTAACATTTGTAGCGTAAATTAAACGAACGTAGAGAAAAAGAAAAGAAAAAAAAAAAAGAAAATGCTCGTTCAAACTATCCTCCCTTATTCTTCTCTTCTTGTGCCGGACAACATCGACAAAATTTTTTTTTAAGAAAACGTTTGACTTCGCGTTCACTGTTTGTGCCAAATTGTTATTTCACGGACTGCCAATTGTTATTTTGCGCGTGCCTGCGCGTGTATTCGGCCAGGTACAATGTATTCACGACGGCAATCCCTCGATATCCCTTCGACCGTTCTCTCTGGGTCCCGCGCTGTATCAGCCCCGAGAAAACCGCCGAGCGATCTTCCTTCTACCCCCCACGTTTATCGTGTGTACACGTAAACGCAGGGTTGGCCGAGGCACGTCTGCGCGATGCGCGCTCAGAGAGGAACGAGCCTCTTTCGCGATCGGACCGACGTGCTTTCCCACCCTCGACGACAGTTCTGCCGCACCACCGAAAGGTGCAACATAATCGTGAGTAAATTTCCTCCAGCCCGCACATCTGGCTGGATTACACATTCTTTCTCTCCACCCCTTTCTCCGAGAGTGCCGCGTCCATCGTCCGCTCTTAAACCGGGCTCAAACTGGGTACGTGATTTTCCATTTTCTTTTTCCCAACTTTTCTTCTCTTTGTGTACAGAGTAAAGATAAAAGAGACACCAGCCTCCGGGGCTAGGGTTTGAAACGTGAGACTGCGAATGCGAAGCGCGAAATACGCGATATGAAATGTCACGTCGTTCGGTGAAAATTGAAATGAAACCGAACCACTAGCTTAAATTTTTGGAAATGCTTGACAAATTTCGCGAGGATAATCGCGAGACGTTCGATTAAAATAGATGGCAAACGTTCGATTAAAATTCAAAAGATGCATTCAGACGCGTCCCCATGGTGGTTAATCGTCCGATTTCCTTGATTATGGATCGAATTATTCACCGAAGAGGGGCTTGGTTTAAGGGTCGATTCAGCGGCGCGGGCTCTTTACATTTCGTCGTACGTTTCTCTGAATGTTCCCGTGGAGGATCTCGTGGAATGACGGGGGCGAAATCACATTACGCCGCGTGGATAAACCATGGTATAACACAGAATGAAGATTAATCTTTCGTCTTCTTTTTGTCTCTCTTAAAAAGTGCTTTGCAATGCAACGAAATCTCTCGATTGGATCTTATTTATCCCGAGAAGCTAGTCAAAAGTTGTTTTGATTTCAAACGTGTGTTTAACTTCTTGCGCTGGAATGACGTGCCACAATTGGCAATATTTTCTCATTTTCAAATATATAACCCAAGTAAAACAAATAATAAATTTATATTATATTATAATATTATAATATAATTATAATATGTAATATACATATATATATTTATAATATTACATTATACTTCTTAATTTCTATCTAGTGATATATCGACAGATATTTCTATCTAGCGATAAATTTAAAAAGAAGACGAATTATTGTATACGGTTTGGTCACTCGTATATTGAAATATAACTCAAGTAAAACAAACAGTAAATTTATATTATATTATAATATTATAATATAATTATAATATGTAATATACATATATATATATATATATATATATATATATATATTTATAATATTACATTATACTTCTTAGTAATTTCTATCTAGTGATATATCGATAAATTTAAAAAGAAGACGAATTATTGTATACGGTTTGGTCACTCGTTATGGTCCGCGAACCAGTTATCAGCGCAAGAGGTTAATTTTTCTTTATTTTGCGTAACAGTTCAAGTTTTACTTTAATTGGATTTAATCAAATTATGTATACTTGCGTCAGCCTTTGCAGCAAATCAAGGTTATCGTTTGATAAAAAATTACTCTTATTTCTAATTTCGTCGACACGCTTAAACAGTGTAATTTTTCTTGTATATTACACGATAGTATATCGTAGCGAAAATTCTACTGGCTCGCGTTTTCCCATCGATTCCCTTCGCGCTATTATTAAATCATTTCGAGTAACCGGCTAATGATACGGAAGCACTTTCTCTTTTTATAAACAGCCGATAGCCGATATTGTAACGTTATATCGATCGTTAAACGGTTGTTATCTCTCGGGAGAAAGAAGTATACGCCTAGTCGAGAAATAAAATAAAATCAAACGCTTTAATTAATGCTGATCGTCAGTTGACAAGAAGCGAGGGAAAAGAAACAAAATTGCAAGAGGAAGCAAATTTTTTCGTAAGCTAAATAACCCAATTATCGATAATGTAGAGTTATTTATTCGCGCATAAAATCAATAAGAAAAGCCGCATATGCTATTGTAGATTTGTTAAAATCGCCGAATATTTGTGATACTCTGTCTATAGAGAACAGGAAATTAATATTATTGGAATCGAGAGTCAAATTGTTAATCGCGAATAAATAGTGTGGTAACCTAACCTCTTTACCCACCGTAGTTGCGTACGCGAATTTAAATCACTAAATATTCGAAAATATGTACGTGCACTCCTACCTTTTCCATTAAAGACACGAATCTCGTTATCATTAAGAAACCAAAGAGTCTTCTTATGTAAAGTAAATATACTGTCGAGTAACTTTTGATCAAATATAAACCTTTCGATAATATATACACAAATATGTACATTAATAGATAAAAAGAACGTGTAACATACTTGAACAAGTCGAAAATTTGAAAGAACTTCATCGGGCAAGTCGATTCTTCCTCTGTTCCGTAGTTTTTTCACAGGTTTCGCGAAATTGTAACGTACACTGGAAATATTTCCGAAAGGAAGGGAGGAACTGCTTGCGAAGAGTTTTCGCGCGTGACGCGTGGAACATGAATCGAAACAGAAATTGTAAATGAATTGAAAATGAATCTTTTAGCGTGTGAGAAAACAATTTCTACGAAATTAAGATTTTCTAACGCGGTGAAGACGATAGCCCTTCTCCTTCAGGAGAATTGCAAATCCGTGGGATTTTCAACGATCAACGTAGTTGTTTTCAAACGATCCGAGAAAACGCGGTTAACGCAACGAAATTATAGACGACGCTGTCGTCGCCTGATCCTTCGTTTGCTCGCGCGCGATGTAAACACTCTTTTGTGCGTTTCGCCTCCGTTTTCCACGAAATTCACATTTCCACGACATTCGGCTTGGCTCGAGAATTGTTTGTTGTTTTCTTCGAACCGTCGCAAATCGTTTGAAACGCAGCAGATGCGGCACACTGAAGTCATGAATTGTTGGTCACGATTG